ATGAGCTCCATGCCTGCATATACAGATACTTGGTACTTGACTTTTATCCACCAGCTCCTGGTTCAACTTATGGCTGACTCACCTGAAAAATTTGCATTCCTGAGAAAATTACAGACTACAAGGATTTTATGGGAAGGTGTTAGAGACCAAGGCAACAAAGGGAACTTTGTGGTTAGTGTCTACTACAGGCCGCCCAACCAAGGGAAGCCTATTGATGAAGCCTTCTTATTCCAGCTACAGTAGGCTTCACACTCGCAGGCTCTTGTCCTGCTGGGGGACTTCAACCACCCCGACATCTGCTGGAAAAATAGCACGGCGAGTTGTAGGCAATCCAGGAGACTCCTGGATTGCACTGAGGATAATTTCTTACACCAGGTAATAGACAGTCCTACCAGAGGTGATGTGATACTGGTAATGTCAGAATTGGAGGCTGCCTGGGCTGCAGTGATCACCGACTGGTGGAGTTCAAAGTCCTGAGGGATATTGGTCAGATGAAGAATAAAGTCAGGATACTGAATTTTAGGAAAGCAAAATTCCAGCTCTTCAAGGAGTTAGTCAATAGGACCCTCTGGGAAATTGCCCTCAGGAACAAGGGAGCAGAACGGAGCTGGCAGACCTTTAAGGATGCTTTCCATAGAGCACAAGAGCTCTTGTTGCCCAGGTGTAAGAAATCAGGCAAGGAATGCAAGAGAACAGCATGGATGAGTGGACACCAGCTCATCAAACTAAATGAGAAGAAGGAAATGGACAGGCAGTACAGAAGTACAGAAGTAGGAACCTAAACGTACAGAAGTCTGTGGGACCTGATGAGATGCATCCCAGAGTCCTGAGGGAACTGGCTGATGTAGTTGCCAAGACACTCTCCATGACATTTAAAAACTCATGGCAGTCAGGGAAAGTCCCCAGTGACTGGAAAAAGGGAAACATTGTGCCCCGTTTCAAAAAGGGTAGAAAGGAAGACCCTGGGAACTACCGACCTGTCAGCCTCACCTCTGTGCCTGGGAAGATCATGGAACAGATCCTCCTAGAAGCTAGGCTGAGGCATGTGGAGGACAGGGAGGTGATTCAAGACAGCCAGCATGGCTTCACTAAGGGCAAGTCCTGCCTTACCAACCTTGTGGCTTTCTATGATGGTGTAACAACAAGAGTGGACAAGGGAAAACCTATGGATGTCATCTATCTGGATTTTTGTAAAGCCTTTGACACGGTCCCCCACAACATCCTTCTCCCTAAATTGGAGAGCCATGGATTTGATGGGTGGACTGTTCAGTGGATAAGGAATTGGTTGGATGGTCG